TCTGCACAAGATCGACTTATTCTTATCGTTAGTGGTCGATTAAGCAAAGAATTAATTCCTCAGATTCATAATCTTCGACAAGTCTCCGCTGTTTACATCTATTGTTGGGATAAAAAAGCATATAAACAATGGGCTAAACAATTTACTAAAGTAGGAAGTTCTTCTTCTTATTTTTCAATTTCTTAATCTTCTTCATTTATTTGTTTGAAGATAAAAGGTATAATCATTCACCTTGATGATCTCATTGATCAAATCAAAGTAGATCAAAAAGATCGAGGAAAACAAGAAGAACCACTTTCTATGAACATTTACAATGTTCGTGGTAATGCAGATAAATCAACAACTGAACTCAATGGTCATTTTATTCATTCTTTATTATTAATTGATGTTCTTATTAGAATGAAATCTACTGATACTGACAAAAAGAAACTTATTCAAGTTTGCAAAGATGAATATACTGACAATGATCATCAATTAGAAATTGTTAGTGAATTTGAACGTCACTATAAGTCTAAAAAAGCTATATGGTGGTATACTCGTGATGCATTTTTATTTAGTATGTTAAACAAAGCTTTGCGAGTACAAAATACTGAATTATTATTATTATTTCGTTTTGTAATTCATGATATTTACGAACGACTAAAAAAATATCAATGTCAACGCCCTATTCAGGTTTATCGTTATCAACCTATGTCTACTGATGAATTGAATGCTCTTCGACAATCGATTGGTCAATTCATCTCGATTAATTCATTTTTTTCAACAAGTGCTGATCGTGATGTAGCTTTGAGATTCTCGAAGCGTTCGACCATTTCGAATGATTTACATCCAATATTATTTATCATTGACGCTGATCCTCGTGTAGTAAAATCAAAACCATTTGCTGATATCAGTTCGCACAGTTACTTCCCTCTGGAGTGTGAAATATTATTTATGGTTGGATGTATATTTCTTTTGATCGATATTTATCGAGATGATAATGAACAAATCTGGATAATTAAAATGCAATTAGCAGAAGAT